ACCCCCGACATTAGGTCCTCTCAGCATACCTTAAACTGAAAGAACTCAAAGAAAAAATTCAAGCCTTGAGTTGCAATACTAATAGATCCTATGTGCAAAATATTGAATAATGCAGAGCATCAAAAGAAGATAGAATACACAGAGACACTATACCAAAAAGAACCAGCTGACAATCATTTTAAGAGGTATAGCATATGAGCAAGAACCAATGGTACTGAAGGCAGAAGTCCAGGCTGTACTGAAAGCATTAGCCAAAAACTAGGCTCCAGGAATTGATAGCATATCTATTGAAATATGTCAACAAACTGATGAAGCACTTCAAGCACTCACTTGTCTATTCCAGGAAATATGGAAGACAGTTATTTGTCCAACTGACTGGAAGAGATCCATATTGTACCCATCCCAAAGAAAAGAGACCCAAGAGAATGCTCAAACTATAGAACAACATCATTGTAATCACCAGCAAGTAAAATTTTGCAAAGCATCACCCAACAATGGATGCTGCATTACTTTGAGAGGAAGCCGCCAGAGGTTCAACCAGAATGAGAAGAGGATGTGGAACAAGGGATATCACGACTAATGTCAGATGGATCTTGGCTGAAAGCAGAGAATACCATAAAGAAGTTTACTTGTGTTTCATTGACGATGCAAAGGCATTCTACTGTGTGGATAACAACAAACTATGGAGACCCTTGAGAAGAATGGGAATTTCAGAACACTTCATTGTGCTCATTGGGAACCTGTACATGGATCAAGAGGAAGTTCTGGGAACCGAACAGAGGAATACTGCATGGATTAAAATCAGGAAAAGTGTGCATCAGAGCTGTATCCTCTCACCATACTCATTCAGTCTGTATGCTGAGCAAATAATCAGAGCTCTTACTTAAAGGACCGAGATGCACCTGATCCAAGCCATGGTGTTTTCAATGTCCTCATGGTGGTGTTGTTAGGTGCCACTGAGTTGGTTCCAACTCATTGGGTTCATATGCAAAACAGAGCTAAACATGTCCTCACCATTTTTCCTATGCTTGAGCCCATTGGTGGAGCAACTGTGTCAATCCATCTTGTTGAAAGCCTTCCTCTCTTTTGCTGCCCCTCTACCTTGTCAAATATGATGTCCTTCTCCAGAGATTGGGCTCTCCTGACAACATGTTTAATATATGTATGACAAAGTCTTGCCATTCTTGCCTCTAAGGGGCACTCTGGCTGTACTTCTCTAATACAGATTTGTCTGTCCTTTTAGCAGTCCACAGTACTTTCAATATTCTTCTCCAGTATCACAATTCAAATGCACTGATTCTTCTTTGGTCTTTCTTATTCAATGCCCAACTTTCACATGCATATGAGGAATTGAAAACACCATGGCTTGGGTCAGGTCCACCTTACTCCTCAAAGTAACATCTAAAGAGGTCTTATGCAGCAGATTTACCAAATACAGCATGTTTTTGATCTCATGACTGCTGCTTTCATAAGCATTGATTGTAAATCCAAGCAAGATAACATCTTTGACAACTTCAAACTTGTCTCCATTTATCATGATGTTACCGATTGGTCCAATTGTGAGGATTCTGATCTTCTTTACATTGAGTTGTAATCAATACTGAAAGTTACAATCCAAGTAAAATTTTGCTGAAGATCACCCAACAACAGATGAAACAAAACATTGACAGGGAGCTGCCAGACAATCAGGCCAGATTCAGAAGAGGATGTGGAACAAGGTATATCATTGCTGATGTCAGATGGATGTCCACTGAAAGCAGAGAACACTAGGAAGATGTTTACTTGTGTTGTAGTGACTATGCCAAGGCATTTCACTGTGTGGAACATAACAAACTATGGATAGCCTTGAGAAGAATGGGAATCACATAACAATTCTTTATGATCATGCAGAACTTGTACATGGATCAAGTGGAAGGTGTGGGAATAGAATAGGGGATAATAGCTTAAACTCAGGAAAGGTCCGTCAAGGTTGTGTCTTCTCACCACACTTATTCAATCTGTAGACTGAGCAAATAATCAGAGAGGCTGGATTATATGAGGTATAACGCAATGTCAGGATTAAGGAAGGCTAATTAATAACTGTGATATACAGAGGACACAACCTTGCATGTGAAAGTGAGGAGGACTTGAGGCACTCGCTGATGAACATCAAAGAAGTATGGATTTCAACTCAATGTAAAGAAGACCGAAACCCTCACAACATGAGGTCATTGAAAATACCATGGTTTAAGTGCACCTTTGTCCTCAAAATAACAGCCTTGCTTCTCAAGGTTGTTTTAAAGCGGTCTTGTGTAGCAGATAAATCCAATGCAATATACATTGATTGATTTCTTGACTGCTGCATGTACAAACATTGATTGTGGATCCAAGCAAATAATCAAAGAATCTGGATTATAAGAAGAAGAATGTGGTAACAGGATTGGAGGAAGTTTATTAGCCAGTTGTGCTCATAGCAACCCCATATAAAACAGACTGCAGCAGAATGAACCCCACGTATAATAGAACGAAGCACTGCTCAGTCTTGCACCAGCCTCATAATGTTTAAGTCCATTGTTGTAGACACTGTGTCAATCCATATCCTTGGTGGTCTTCTTCTTTTTCTTTGATCCTCCACTTTATTAAGCATGATATCCTTCTTCAGGTATTGTATGTCCTGGTAAGTCCAATATACATGAGAAGTCTTTCCATCCTTGCTTCTAAGAAATATTTTGACTACTTCTTCCAAATCAGAACTCACCTTTACGATATAATATTCACTGTGATACCCATGAAAATGACACAAGAGGCTTTTAGAAGACAGTAACAGGTTCTAAAATAGAGACCGCAAGCAACTTGTTAATAAGGAAGAGTTATAAGTCTCTAAAGTGGTTGAACGTTCATAATTATTTACTGAATTCTTTCATATCATGTTAGAAATATCTGCTTTGGAAATACATTGCTTTAGGAATCATCCATCATCGTCTCAGAAAATAAGGTACACAATCACTAGCATAATACAGCACAAACCTGTAAGAGAATCTGAGGGCAGTAGATGGTACATAAGCCAGACAGAAAAGCAGGTTCCTTGGGGGCATTGATCTCAATATTAAAATAACATGAAGCTCTGCAAATGTTCAGTTTACTGTAACTACATCTTCTCTAAAAAAGATGAACCATTTCAAGAGAAAAATCAACCTGAACACAGAGAAAATAAAAATTCCTAAAACTGCTTTATTTAAAAATATATATACTTCGTCTTTCCATAACAGGCAGCTATTTAACAAAGTATTTAACTGGCACATTTTAGAATGATATGTAAACAAAGGAACAGCAACTAACAGTTTTACGGCACATTCACGAGCTTGTATCGAAATTACATTCCTGACGGTCCCTTTTTGTGGGAATTCAAATTCCACGGTTCTCCATAAAATCACCAATCAGGTTTCAATATTTTCTTCATTTTACTTGTTATCAAATATTTTGTCAACTTTAGCTTTATTTTTCTAAATTAATAAAACCTAGACACAAAGAAACTAAAACATATTATTACATAAACACAAATTAAAACATAAACACATATTACTAAAACACAAAGAATATAAAAACATATTCAGTAAGCTGCTTTTCTAGCCAACCTACCACAACTAATTATTTCCTAAATTGATTTCTGAAATTCACCTAGATGGACTGTTCCTGTCTTTTATAAATATTTTAGTGTTTCTCATAAGTGCTTGAAAGCAAATTATACTAATGATCATAAGTCACTAAACAACTTTGCAAAATAAATGTCTTTCAGGATCAACATATATGAAATCAATAAATGTTAGCATCTATAATACATCTAATTCATGATCTCACTTATTTTTGGTCATTTCATCATTTCAATCTCTTAGGAAAATGTGGACCCAGATAGAATGCTACCTTTTCACAAATCACTTACTTAAGCTGCTTTGCATCAGGAAGTGGACTAATTTAAAGGCAGATTTCCAGAAAACTTACCTGAACATTAATCTAATAGGGTTACTTGTAAAACAAGATAAAATGAAGAAGCTATAAAAATAAAGGATGAAAAAAAATACAGCATGAAATAAATAGTGAAACTTTAATGCCATACTATGGTGCAACAGAGAATACAAAAAAAGATATATGTGCATATATATTTAAGTTGTAGGTGCCTCCTAAGCAAGAAGATTCAGGAATTATAATAATTAAACAATATCAGTGCCTAACTCTGTTTTTAAAATTTTAATGTTGGCAAATGACTTATCGTCATGTGAACTATTTGCTCCTTCAGGACTGCCACGTGATGTCTCAAACATCAATACGAATTCCATGTTTTGAAGACAGCACTTGTCTGGTCCCTGTTAGACACATAACAAATGAGCAGATGTGAGGTAAAGATGATGTGATTATTACATACAGCCAGAATGGTACTGGAGAAGTTTTTCCGAATGGGCATAACCACAAGCCATGGCGGATTCCATCACGGATGTGATGGGAAGTCCAGGATATGAATAACATCCAGGGCAGGAAGCACCATGAGTCTTTGAGCTTGAAAAGATGCATAGCCAACTTCAGGGCCAGAGCCACGATGGGTATCACAGTAGAACAGTGGAGGGAAGGTCTTCTTGGAAGAGTCAATGCAGCCTGTAAGGGTAGGGGCAATAGGTAATATCAATTCCTGGTTGGCAAAACACAGTTTTATAGACGATTCTGATCATTTAAAAATAACTTCCAGGGATACAAGGGGAATGCAAGGAAACGTTTCCTAAGTCACCTCAGGATATACCAATCTACTATATATAAGGAGGTAAAAAGAATGACCAGGATTCCCTTTACATTAAAAATGAAAGCAACAGCTCAGGAATATTGTTAATTTTTTTAAAGTTACATTTTTATATATTTTAATATATACATTTTAAATAAAAGTTATATTTATTTTTTTGGAGGGGCCTAGAAAAGTCACAATATGACATCATTTAGATCTTAAACATATGATTAGTGTAATTTGGACTTTCAAAGAATTTTCTGGGGCTTCTGAGAGCATTGAGAAAAGTAAGACACTCGAAATGTTCTTTAATAAGTGAAGGCAATAAGAGGAAAATATTTTGTTATGTTTATTTTATATCAGTCTTGAATATTTACAGACTTCATTTACAACATTTGGAAATACTATACTATTTTCAAGAAATATTCTCAAGTGAAGCTACATTTCAGTAAAATTTTAACTGTTGCAAAAAATCTAATCAACAATCTGAACAAATGACAATTTCAGACTTACTTCTCAATGGTCCAGGAGTGAAATTTTGCTCCCATTAATTTTATAGGTCAATTGCAGTCGGATAGTTCCTCATAAGAAGGGGAGGATAGGGACCAAACCCCCCCCCCCCAAATAATAACAAACTCACTGCAATTGAGTTGATTCCACCTCAAAGCAGCCCTACAGGAGTAGAACTGGCCTGTAGGTTTCCGAGACCATAACTCTCTCGTGCATACATTACATTAAAATTAATTCAATTTTTTAAACAGCTTTATTGGTGCATAAAATCCACATATCACACAATTCAATAGTTTAACCATATCAAGAAGAGTTTTAGACTGCAACTCTTCATGGGAGTAGGAAGCGTCGCCTTTCTCCTGCAGAAAAACTGGTAGTTGATAGTGGAGGCCTGAATTCTAATCTCCTCACATTTTCTAAAAACATTATGGAGCAAGGAAAAAAAACTCCATACTTTGAGCATAACTGTATGTCAGAGAAAGTTCAAATTTAAACTTACATGTAAGTATTAAACACCAAATGAGTGAATTCCCTCTCTTATTCCCACCACAAACCAGGAAACCGTGCATTGAAAAGAAAGGAGGGAAAACCTAAGATTGATCTAAAAATACCCTGAGGAAGAGACAGTTCAACTGGGCAGGGCAAGGGAAGCAAGGTGGAGATTTGGACAAAGCAGGTGCAGAGTCTATGACCCCGTCTTGGAACTATTTCCCAGAACTCCTGGTTACCCCTGGTGGAAGTTCCCAAGCCAGCAGAAGTTCCTGAGAATCTCCTATGGTGTGGAATTTTTTAGATGCTAGGTATGTACGAAGGTGACAAGCAATGCTAGCCATGCTAACTGAGAAGGCTCCTTCCTTCTAGGCGTCCCGAGATGAAATTCTTTGAAATGTGGTAAGTCTGAAAAGCACATCTTTCTTTTGGTAGGATAAGGACTTGAATTCCAGTAGCACAGACTAAAAGTGTGAACATTCCAGAAAGGGCGCTGGAAAAGCAGAGCAGGAACTGAAAAAGTGTGATCATTCAAAACTGAAAGGCATTGATTGTTTCTGAGGGGAAGATGGTCAAAGGGAAGAGAAAGGTTCCCATTAGCAATTGGGTGGCAAAAGGGAAAAGAAGTCATAAAGGGAAAAACTTAGGTTTCTCTAAGAAAAAGGAATGAGACAGATTGAGAAAGAGGGCACACTTTTTTTCCACCTTTAAAGGAAAGTGAAAGGAATAAAAATCCATTGAAGGGACTGTACTTGCCAACACAGTCAAACCAAACCATCGTTCAGCTAGTTTATTGGGGTCTCTTACAGCTCTTATAATAATTCGTACATCACTTGTATCAGCACATTTGTATATATGGTGCTGTCATCATTTTCAAAACATTTTCTTTCTACTTGAGCCCTTGGTATCATTTTATTTTCCCTCCTGCCCTCATGACCCCTTGATAAATTGTAAATTATTATTATTTTCATATCTTACACTCTCTGCTGTCTCCCTTCACCCACATTTCTGTTGTTCGTCCCCCCTCCCCCAAGGTGTGTGTGTGTGTGTGTGTGTGTGTTATACGGCGATCATTGCAATCGATTCACCTTTTCTCCCCCCACTTTCCCCCTACTCTCATAGTACTAGTACTCCTATTACTGTTCCTGAGGGGTTTATCTGTACTGGTTTCTGTGTGTTGAGGAGCTAGGAATCTTGAAAACCTACACCATAAACTGGAGTTCTTGAATTCCTACCTACTAGTGAAACATTAAGAAGCTCTGGCGTTATAGTGGTTACACACTGGGCTGCTAACCACAAAGTCAGCCGTTTGAAACTACCAGGACTCCCAGGGACAAAGACAAGGCTCTCTACTTCTGTGAACAGTTACAGCCTCAGAAACCCACAGGGGCAGTTCTACCCTGTCCTATAGCGACTCTTATGAGTCAGAATCAACATGATGGTAGTAAGTTTGGTTTTTAATCGAACATCAAAGAGTTTATTCTACATTCCTCTTACCATCTCCCCTTTCACACACTTTTGGTTGTTTTACTACTTTTTCAGAGCATGTAACATTTCTGTCTTCTTAGTCCACCTTTGTTTTTACCTTGTGTTACAAAATATATAACCACAATATAGTAATGCTCATCAATAGTCCCTTTTTTTGACACAGCCATAACCAAGAATACCTTAGAATAAAGAACTTTTAAAACTATGAAATGAAATAATAAAGCAGATTCATCTATAAAAAGTTAGTACAGAGAAAGAAAGTGCTATGTTAAGATCACAGAACCAAGATTCAAACTTAAATCCAAAGATTTGCAAGCTTAAACAATGCTGACTTCAATTATAACAAAAAATGTTAAAACGTTTAATCAACATTTACCTTGGCATAACAGGACAAGAAGTGATCATTTTCATTTGTTCAACCAATATTTAGTGAACACCTACTATGTGAACCTGGTGACTTCTTCACTCACCACTGCCAAGAACAGCAAAGTCTTTGCTCTATGAATTTATATGTATCTGTCTGGAAATTTTTTTCAGAATATAATACCCAGTCCTGGCTGACTCCAATTATAACAAAAAGGTACAATTTATCTTTAATCACTTACTGACACCTTATTAAGTTTCTGAATAATTGTGACAACTTCTGAGAAATACCTGGTACAGAACCTAGTGAATAAAGGACAAGAGGTTTTAAAAAAAATGAATGAATGGACTTTATTTTGTAACAAACTTATTTTTCCCAAATTGGATCAAAAGTGATCTGTGAAGATTACTATAATGGTAGTAAAAAAAAGTTAAAGGAAAGAGTATAAAAATTATACATATATCTATCTTACCTTTAAAGATAAGGACCCAGCTAGAAAAAAATGGTCTATATCAATAATGGAGGCTAGAAATCCAGCTAAAATTATTTCTCCCAAGTCAGTCTTTTTCTTGACTCCAATGACTACAGCCCACGACCACATGCCAATCACACAATGTACTGCATTATCTGAGAGGGCACGAAGCCAGGTATTTTGCTGAATTGTAGAAAACTGAAGAAGTCTATCAGCTACTAGGCAAAAGATGCCCAGACCAAAGCTGGAAAGAAGAGATTCCGTGCTACATGACTGGAGCAAAGCATGGGTCTTCTCAGTCTCCGATGCCATCACAAGTAATATGTCAGAAGGTGCTAGAAGCCATCAGGAAACAAGCAGCCTGTTTTTGTTTGCATTGCCGCCACCCTACCAAAGACAACACAGAAAAGTGTTAATGAAGATATAGGCTGCCATATACTATGTAAATAACTCAATCTGAGCAATAATTTTATAAATATTAAAGAACCAAGTTGTTGAAACTAGTATTCCTTTACAAGTTATATGTAATATGTCATGCGGCCCCCAAGGATACAAAGTTAACTCTATATCACATTCTATGTTTTAGGGGAATTTTAGAAAGTCTACTGTGTTAGACAGGGTTCTCTAGAGAGATAAAACCAAATTCCTGATAATTTAATAGATTTATTTATAAAGATAATTAGATATATAACGATAAATGAACTGTTAAATCATATACAGATAAATATATAATACAAGAAATAAACAGTTAAATTAGAAAGCACGACA